GGGGGACTAAACCTGAGAAGCTTTACTGGGAGCATTTTGGTACAGTTCAAGGTTAGTCACTTGATAGCCTGAGTTTTCTGTATCACGCAGTACTTTTCATCCTACAAAAATTGAGGAAAAATACAAAGCACTTCCACATCCTAGTTTCTCAGTAGTCTCATAAAACAAGAAATAATACCAAAAAATGAAGTACATGAACCCTGACACATCTTGGACCCGTGGGAACACCAAGTCTGCTCACACCTCTTAGGCTCAGAGGGAAGGATGCTGTTTGCTGAAGATACCTCCAGCATGTCAAATTGAGACAAGCTTCTCTCTGCACTGGAGAGGTAGTGCAGGCTCGTGGCTAAGGCAAGCAGCCTGCCAGCAGCTCCCAAGTCTGTCAATGGCTTCCTGAGCAAAGTCCCAGCTCCACAAGTGACCATGCTTTGCTCAGAGGCTGAGAGAGGCACTGTTGTAGAAGCTGTAGTGGATGTCCAAATACACTTAAGAGAAACTTTAAGTTCAGTCTTTTTCTAGTTGTTGTTCATTGTCACTGGAAGCTAAATAGTTGAAGGGCACAGGAAATACGTATTCTAAGCTAAAAGGAGGAGGAAAGGCATTCCATCATACTGAAAAAGGGGATATAAGTTGGGAGGGACAGACAGTAAAGGATAAAACCTGCCTCAGAGGGTGACTGCTCATCTCTCACAGTACTTGTGCATCCTGCTCAGAGCAAGTGTGATGGTGGTGGCCGAGGGGCTGGGACCCATACATTGTGGGCTCCTACTGTGGGGCTCCAACCTGTCCTTGGTCAGAGAACAGGCTCCGAGACTAGTGCCTGGGATCTCACAAGGAAAAGTCATGAAAAAGACAAGGAATGGACAGAAAAAGTATTTCTATCCACAGCCCCACATTTCTCTTAACTTGAAGGACCTCAACTTTTCTGTCCCCAACACTCAACTTTATTTTTGATTTGTTTATTTTTAAATGAGGCAAAGATAAGAACCAAGACTGAGCTTTGCCAGCTTAACATTTTTTTTCAAAAGCTGCTCAAAGGGTTCTCTCTTACTTTACTGTGGTATAACTAAAACAAATTCAGTCCCTTGGGGAAGAATTTCAGTTGCTGGTGTTTGCTTTCTGCTTTTACTGAACTAGTGATGCTGGAGGTCAGATCCTTCCATCTGCCCTGCCCTGGCCCAGGGCAGATCCTCTGCAGAACCACTCCTCCATAGCCCAGGTTGGTTACAGAGAGACTCCTCCCTGGGAGAGCTGTAGGACAGCCTCTCATGTTCATACAATCTTTACCCTCCCTCAGACTGTCAGCAAGGGCTCCAGTCAGATATGCCCACTATTTATTTTGATAGTGACTGCTTATTATGAACAAATCTATATTCCTAAACTTGCTTTGCACAGCACAGCCTCAGTTAGGACCCCCACCTACTAGAGGTCAGAGGGGTGGCCTTGCTGCATAGTGTTACAGAAACACTGACACAAGATGACGGGGGAATGGTTTTCTGCAAACTTGACCCATAGTCAAGTTGCAGAACTGGACACAGAAACCAGAAGTCTGTCAGGACTGTCCTGACAGTTGGTTTAAACCTGCAGCAACCCAAGGTCAAAGTCCTTGCCTGTCCCACTGCCCCATTCTAGAGGCACACTGGTCTCCTGAATCTCTCTAAAGTGGCACACAGGTAACTCCATGTGATTTAAATATAACCAGGAGATTCTGAAGCACAGATAAAAGGCCAAATCCAGTGTCCAGAAACACTCTCAATGTGATACTACAGGTCCCAGATTTAGTCATTCAAGGGACAGAGGGCACTAGCATGCAGTATTCCCAGAGAAGCATGCTGTCCAGTGGCTGCCTCACTAACAGGTGGCATCTGGAATAGGATGACAGCTTTGGAGGCTGAGTTTGAAGGGTGCGGTGCACTTCAACTCCTGCTGAGGACAAAGAGATGCACAACACTTCTCAAACAAGACAAAAAATATCTAGATATGTCACACGGAATAAAATGAATATTAATGAATATTTTGACATGGACAAATAAGTCAATGTCTAAAATGAATAGCTTGAGACCCTTATAAATTTTGAGCCCCTAAAAGGAGAGTCTTGCATACTACCTCAATATTTCCACGTGGTCCTGCATACTGCATTCATTTGACTTGTGAGGTCCACAATCTGTACCCTCAGTTTCTATCAACTGCCCTTTGCTTTCATTGCTGAACCAATAATCTGCCACGACTTAAGAATAAAGATGGCTACTTGTTAAATTAGAAGTCAATTAAGTCTACCAGTAGATGATGTCGCTTGCAACAACTGCTCTCAGTGGATACTGCTCTTCCTGTATGAAGACAGGAGATGAAATGAGGCCTCCATTGGCTCTGGATTCTCTCTTGAGTACACGACATACAGCCCCACATATAAAATGTCAGAACAGCCCTGTCGGAGATTCACTGGCTGCTAAAACTGTGAAGATCTCACAGCACCGTGGATTGCTGTTGACAGAAAAGCAGCGCCCAACACAACACATGCCTTGTTAGCAAACTGGAAGCCTCTCAGTTTCTGGGGTGAGGGAATAATAGAGGAAGCCAGTGCAATGCAAGCCAGGCCTGTGGAGAACAGCAAGTGAACAAACCTTGGCGAAGAGTCCAAGCAAACCCTCAGACTTGCTCTTTTTTCCCCTTCTTTCAAACTCTCTTTCTTTTCTAAATATGAACACTTTTCAGTGTGCACTTCCCACCATGTGACTGAGCTGGTGAAATCAGCACCACTATCATCAGGAGAGCCTGCAACTGGCACAACAGACCTGTACAAAGCAATGGGAAAGCCCCACAGCTACTTTTTAGGTAAGCTGACACTGACTTTTCCACCATATCACGTCACCTCCCCTATACAAACAGCCATGTCCTTAGTTTCAGCACTACGCTGCCCTGGGGGGCGTGTGGACAGCTGCAGCACAGCGTAGACACACCACCCTTGGAGGGCCACACAGGTGAGCTTTGGAGCTGGGGAGCTGTGTACCACTAGGGTTTGTGGCTGTAGCTTCTCTGTCCCTGCCTTCCAGTTCCCTCACAAACCACTTTCATGCTCCAGCAGAGAGCTATGACATCTCAGCATGGCAAATGCTGGGTCATCCCAGGGAGCCAGTATTGCTTTGGCAGGACTGTGAAACAAAAGAAACATCGGCCTGAGAAATGCTTCTTTATTTGCCTCTGTTGAAGAAACAAAACCTTTATGGGCATTAACTTTGCTTTAAACGATAACATGTGTGGATCCTGTGCTTATCCTTTTGCATCTGGCTTCCAAAATCTGCCCTGTTCTTTTTCCACGTGAAAGACTATGAAGCTTATTTTTATTTTGGTGCTAGTGTGCATCACTGCCAGAGAAACTGGCACACACTGAAGCTAGTGAGCCACCCAAATTACTGTTGGGTGGTTCAGTCCCTCTCTATTTCAAGAAGCCTCTGGGTATAATGACAGGAAGCTTACAAGCAATTTCAAGCCAAACTTCAGAGAAGCTGGCATTCAGTTTGTGCTACACGCTGCTTATTAAAAGCTGTCCAGTCCGGATTCTGGGTGGAACTTTGATATCTGCATGGAGTAAAGAATAAGGGGCACGTTTGCAAAATCAATTGTGCAGTTTTTATATTTACTGCACGTTTACCACATATGTCATTTATTACACAGTGGAAAACCGTTAAATGCACAGTAGTTGTGCCAAGTGGCATTATGCTTTTAACAGCTTTATTCGTTTAACAGCTCCAGTTCTCATTATATTTTGCCATGTGGTACATGAGATTTTTATGCATTTAACAGTTTAAGAGGGTTCCATGGTATTTTCCTTTCATGTATTTCATACTGTGCCTGGGATTTTGCTGGGGGGCTGAGGGGTTGTGGACTGTAACCCCTGTACTCGGACAAGATAAACCAAAAGGCAAAGAAAATTAACGATTAATTGAGGAAGGAAAAAATGGATCAGACCTCCAGATGCGTGGGCACAAATACCTGTAACAAGGACAAGGCTCTCCCATGTGCTTTGATAGCCTTTGATGCTTTCTTTATATGCCTTTCAACTTCTTATTTTACGTCTACTTTAATGACTACAACATTGCTTTCCTTCACAGAGGGAAAAAATGTATTTAGTAGAGTACATGCACCTAGATATTTCTAACCCTTCCACACAGAGGCATTTGTGCATTCTTATGTGCATACTGATGCCCTCTCCTAGCATAACTGAGTAATTTCATTCAGGATCAGAAGCAGCTATTCTCACACAGAGTAAACAATTGGAGACCATTGGAACCATGGAACCATCATCCACTTGCGGTCCTTCCTACAAAGAATGCTGTCCTCCTTTCCACAAAATTCATACTGATACATTATATTTTTTTAAACAGTTGGATGAAATTTTTAAGAATTTCATCCAGCCTAGGTTTGCCCGCATGTATTTTTTACATCCAAGGTGAAAATTAATCCAGGAGAACACACTGCAGCGCCCTCTCATCTTTTTTGTAAAAATGATTGGATTGGATGTGAATTGCTCACATGGCAATACTGCATGTAGCACAAACAGCATGAGGGAAAAAAATAGGAAACACCTTCCTAGCATGCAGTTTCCCCATCACCTTCCTTCCATTAATTACTTAAGCAAATGTTTTTTTTTTTTTTTACCTGCAAAAACAAGAAGGGTATCATCATTTTGAAAGGTCCTTGTCCTACTAATAGACATGTAAGTTATATGCTACAAGTGGGAAAAGACGTGTGTTTGTACAAAATGGGGAGGAAAGCTCAGCTGCAAGCCGGTCCTTTTTTCAGTCTATTTTAAAAGGAAAAAGGAAACCACTTAAGCAGGCAAATGCCAGAAACACGACAGGTTCCCCAGAGATGAAGGTTATTATTATTGTATGAACAGATGTATTTTTATTGGTGGGAGGAGAATATAGGTCTAGCTTCAACCCCAAAGTTGGCTTTAAAAACAAAACCCCAAAAAGAACGAAATCCCCTCTACCACTCACCTGACTTTTATTGGCAGCCACCTTGGCAAACAGAGCTTGAGATACCTTGGCCCTTTTCATCTCCTGTTGGATCTCGTCATAAATGGCAGCTGTGATGTTGACGTTGGCGCCGTCCGCCTTAATGGGGAGGTCTGTTGTTGGTGTCGAGGTTTTGGCCTACCAAGAGACCATGAAAATAATAATTAAAAAAGTGCTGCTTTCAGCCCAGCCATCTGTGCAGAAATTATCAAAGGATTTCAGTCAGCTGATGCCAAACTGCATTAGCTACAGAGGGACACTTCCTGTCCATTATTCTAATCAGGTTAATTGTGATTGGAAATAATTGCAGTGCATTCCTATAGGACATACAAGGCCCTGTCAACTCCCCCCTCTCCCTCTCCCAGCATGTTTATTGAGCAGCTCAACAACACGATAGGTAGCTGGGCGCTCGGCTGCAGGCAGCCTCTGAAGTTTGCTCTGCCAGCTAGCTGCCACAGCACTGACACCAGCCTCTACCTTCTTCCCCCCTCTTTAAAAGTGGCCTACACCTTGGAGGAAGAGCCAATTCTCCCAGAAAAAATGAGTAAATGGGTAGAGGTCTCTAAATAATAAATTATTACTCAATTTAATGCACTCCCTCAAGTCTCTCTCATCCTTTATTAAAACTATACGTATGTCATTTGAGTATGTATGGTTTCCCAGCCTTATCATCATTATGCTGGCCAGACAGTCACCTAATTTCACCTAGGAAATCAGTGGAAATGAAAAAAAAAAAAATCATTTCATAAAGCTGGGCTTTGGCATGCCTTTGATGTGCTGCCCTCATTCTCCTAAACTCATATTGAGATTTTGTGTATTCCACTGCACTCCTTTTAATTGAATGATTTCCCATCAGCTTCTGTGACAAATGAAGGACAATAACGGACGCTGCCAGTACCTTCTCCAGGCTGGACTACCCTTGCAAGGCTGCTATCAGTGCTATAGGCTTCTACAAGATTTTTATTTTAAAGCCCCTCAGCCATGGCCATCCTCAGATGGTAGAGGCAGGTGAGGGACAGGATGCAGTGCTCACAGCACCAGCAGCCCCTTGGAGCTCAGATCTCATTTGCCAGGGCTGATCCTTGAAATCCTACATCTTTTAAGGGAAATACATAGGTTACTGACGTAAAATCCCCATTTTCTTTTGAGATGTAAAAGTCTTAGGAAACAAACTAAGCTAAGTCACAAAGCTCACATTTCCAGATAGATTCAAACCTCCCATAAAGCCTGGTGATATTCAGTCATCTGGTCCAATCATAAGCCTTTTCAGCTGGCTCCTGCCATTGCACTAGAGTTGAAGGCTGCTAGAGTACATCTAATATTAATTTTTAACTAGGTAGACATGGTCAAACGCCTCTTTGTTAATGAGAAGGTTAACTAGGCAAAACCAAGCCTTTTGAACTTCTTTTGTTTTGCTTTCCTCCAAATCTTCCTGTCTCTAACATCTTTTCTATTCCAAGGCCCACATTAATAACGGAGACAAAATTCAATCAAGACAACAATCTAATCACTCTTCCTACTGCTTGCAGATAAAGCCTTCATCAACCTGTATCTCCTCTCTTTCTGAAGCCAGTCTAGGGATCAGGAGGAGCTCACTGTGCAGAACCCACACAGTGTTGCATGGCACAGCAGTCAACTGAATGTATGCACCCTGCTCAGCAAGGGCTCCCTACAGCTTTGTGCCTCCTTGGCTTGTTTCCTGGCTGTTCCAACACAAGAGCACTCTCAGCACAGGACCCATAGAGAAAGGGCTGGAGATTTCTGCATCTCTGCATTAAGACTAGGGCAGTAGGAGCACAGTTGAGGCAAACCAGGGCCTTTGGTGCCCTGGCACCACTGGAAGCCAAGGCCAAATTCATCCACAGGCCCTGACCATGAGTGGGTACAGCCCCATGGATGAACCGACAGGGACAGCGAACACTCCAAAATTCAATCCTCAGGGATAGACAAGAGACAGGACAGTTGTGAGGAACTCAGGAAAGCAACAAAGAGATCATGGGAAAGGAGGAGGACTGTCCAAATCTGTCAGGATTCATTTAGTGGAACTTAACTAAAGACATCGCAGTGCTGTGAAGGGTATAAAGAAAGTCTTTCCAGGCAATGGAGCCTTTGATTAGCACAGCAGCTGAGGTCACCAAGGTCTGGAAGGTGAGGCCTGAGATTCTGAGAACAAAATTAGCATATAAAGAAAAGTTTTAAAACAAATCTTGTCCTGCACAGATCTCCTGCACTACCAGCTCCACAGCCAGAAGTCAGGAGCCAGCCTGCCCAATGTACCCCAAAAGCTGGGCTCTTTTTTATTTAATCATCAGAATAGGTAGGACAAGTGCCAAACAGAAATATCACAAGCAAGTGTCTAAAGCCAAAGGCCTGGATTCAAAATTGATCTTCATATTAGCAAGAAGTTTACCATTATTGAAATGTCTCACTGCAAATGGTGAAAAAAAAGAGAAAGAAAACAAAAAAGAAAAGGGTTTGTAATCACAATGCTAGAGTGCTGAAATCCCAGCAGTTACTGCTGGTCTTTGACAGAGAGAAGAGAGATGGCAACATGTACGCAATAACCTTTAAAAGCTCAGAACTCCTCCCCCAAGCACTTGCATCCTCTTGCTAGATGGATCTGCTGCTCTCACCTCCGCACCGGTGCTAGATCACATCTGTCTGTGCTTGGGGAATACCCTGAGGGGTTTTGGGTTCCGGAGTGATGGAGTCAAGCTAGGTGACTCCTTGTGCTCATGAGCACACCTCCACGGCTGTCCCATCACTTAACCATACTCTATCCAGCGCACTAAAAAAAATCATTCCCAGAAGTACTGCCTCAAGAGATTGGTATCTATGGAAACCATGTTCCAAAATGACATTAAATCAACTTCTTCAGCACTGTAACATAATTCTTGAAAGGCCAGTATAGTTCCTCCTCACTAGTTACCACTGCTACCCAAAAAGCACCATTATCTGGGCTATACAACAGATTTGCCTGGGGAGGCAATGTTTCAGGACCGCTGCATGGTATATGAACAGGGAACTTGTCTCATCGGGACTAATACCAGGCATATGGGGAAGCACAGTAGCCGAGCTGCCTGCCCAGGAGCTGGGAAGCAGCCTAATTTGCAGAGGTGTCCAAGTTGTCAAAACAGCACCTGTGCTGACTGGTGCTGGCCCTCAGAGGACTGGAGAAATTTTATCCAGCGGGCACAAGACAAGCACTGGGTATAAAAAGGTTTCTGCATTGCCTTTGGTGATTAAAAAATCTCACTATATTCTACCAGATTCTTCAAGAAAATAAGGGAAAGGCGAGCTGCTTTATATTTCTAGTGTATCGCTTTCTAACAATGCTTCACTCTTAAAAAGAAGAACAAAATTTTCCTTACTTAAAGCTGTCACTAGAACACGGGGAAGATTTCTTATTTTGACAGAGGAAAGAGACAGAGTGACAGATCTGACAGAGATCTGATTTCTGTTTTCACTGGACTGCATCTAACTCACCCATTTCTTTCTGGGTTGGTTTTTTTTTTTTTAATTATTATTGTTCTATTCAAGTTATGAAATCTATTGCACTAAATATTACCAGTAGTAAGCTAATTCTTTCATGAAAATATAAATGCAGAAAGAGTTTACGCTATTTAGATGTTAAAATAGTTCTCTTCAGAATTTTATTTTCATAGAAAGATAACTAAAAACAGTTAAGAATTATGCAACAATGAATTTTGCATATTACAAAAATTCAGCATTGAATTCAGCATGGCAAGATGTGCTTGCTTTCAGTGAAAGCAGTTCTTTATATCATGTGTAGCAGTAGAGTCTACCCAAACACATGAACTGAGCTCAACAGTTTCTACAAAATCAGCACACCTTAAGGATGATCTATGTGCCTTTAACTCCCTGCCCCAAGACTCTTATTTTTAGCAGCTGCAGCTCCAGTATTCAGGATGAGAATTGCTCAGTAATATTATAAGCATGGTTAAGACATGCACAGCCCGAGCGAGCACTCGGAGACTCTGCAGACTACATGACTGTGGAAGTACCAGAACAGGAGGGTTACAAAGGCCTGTTTATGAAAGACGACAAGAAGTGCTAGACCTGAGCTATCACATCTGCACAATTAGAAATTTCAAACTCAAGTTACACAGATGTCATGACAAGAGTTAATTGTTGGTGTGCGATCACCTTTTCCTTTTTGGAGTATACGTCTGGGACAGCAAGAAGCCTGGCTGAAGGGTGGATACACTATGACAGTGTAGTACCTGCATGTTCACTCTTAGCGCAAATGAACAACTTACATAGAGAAGTGGATAGGAACAGAATGTTAATAAACCTGATTAGATAAGTCTACTAGTTTAGAGCTTCAAAGCATCATCTCCTGCCCTAGCACTGTGCCCGTCTCTACCTTCTGTACTTCAAATAATTACTAGTGTAAACTAACTAAAGGACTGTCATTTCCTAGGCAGAGTGCACTGATTTCTAACTCACTGTTGGCTCCTAACCACTGCATGTTTTTGATTGCTACATATATGAATCTCTCCACAAGCTCAGAAATTTCCTGTATTCTGTAGAACATCACAGAGCACTGAGACAAAAAGTTATGTAAATAATATTTCTATAACGTAGTCTAAAACACTCTGTCTGGAAAGCCCGCAAGCAACCATTCAGGTACTAAAATCACAGATTCTTTTTTGCATTTATGGCATTGATCAAAGCTAGAATCATCACTAAGTCTTGTTGCAATTCAATAAACACCTCTTAACAGTCTCTCCAAGTCTTATAAAAGGATTTTCATACCTCACCTGAGCAAAGGGAGCAACATAGAAGGGAAGGGCAGAGAAAAACTCCTTCCCTGGACTAATATTAGCACAGAACCACATAACAAAGGATCACATCTTACCTGGGGGGTTCTAGAGGAGCTTGGGCTGCTGGCTGCTGAAGACACCATGCTCACATTAGGGTTCATGCTTCTCTCTCTCTCATCCTGATAGATTCGATCCCGTTCCGAGTCAGGCAAGTTGAGGAAATTCTGCATCGCCCTTAAGTTTACCAGGAGGGACTGGGAAGCTGTCCTAGGGTCTTCTTCTTTACGCAGGATCTCAGACAACAAGCCCTGGTTAAAAAAATTTAAAAGTCCAGTCACATGGTGGTGTTTTAAATTTGTTTAGAAAAACTGAGAGCCTACATCAAAATCTCATAGCCTCTTCCACAGGGAATATTTTGTAGGAAAGTGCTTGTCTTGTGAGGGCTGGAGTTTATTTTGCGACTGTCCTATTCTTGCACTGTAAAAAGCATATAAATAAGCATGTGAGCATAGAAATCCTGGATATGAAGGCAGGTGCACTGGGTAGAAGAAACTGCAGTTACCACCAGGTGCTTGCAGCAAATATTTTAGGAGCTGTTAGATGTCTCCCTCTCCCTCTCTCTCTGTCTTGTCTTGATGCTGGGAATGCTTGGCAGGCCTGTTCATCTTTGACGAATCTGCCAAGTTTGGTAAATTTAGTTTTGACATTTAAACAGTGCAGGAGGTTTATCAAGAAAAACATTTGGTAGAGTTTGATATTATAGTCCGTTCATTTTGGTCTGGACACTTGTTTCTGAGAGGAGAAAATGCAGTAAATAATAAAGCCTCAGAATATAGCTCTAGGGATTTAACCCATTCTTTTATGCCGTATTTTAAAACACCATGGGCTTCTTGCTGCAACAACAAATTAACACTATATTCACAGAAACCATTCTGCCAGGAGGTAACCAGTGCAAAATTAAAAAAAAAAAAAAAAAAGGGAGTTGGAGAGAGAGAAAAATAGTATTAAATGAGGCTTAAGTCTAATGATGAGATTAAAATAATGCATAACTGCAAGCACAGCTATGTGGAAGTTAGGGCACAATATACAAGCCTGGAGGGGGCCTACACTAACCACTAGAGCAAAGCACGTTCCACCCACGTTCCAGAGGTACCCACCACATCCCCACTTCACAAGAAGCCATTTCACTCCCAGAAGCGATAACAGTCCCCTCCTGAGCCAAGTGCTCACATACGCTGCTGTACAATGAAGCAGTGCCACAAGCCCCAGCCCACCATGGGAGCTGTGGCCTTCAGCCACAAAGGGGATGCAGGGCCCCACTGCGATTCAGCCACAGCTGCTGACATGAATGTTTCGCACCACTACTGCACAGCCGTGACTGAGGCAAGCTGCCTCACCAGCACTTCTTTCTCCTAAGAAAAACATTACCAGAAAACAGCCACCTAGTCAAAACCCTGTAACGTTCAGCCTATTTTCTTCCATGCCTGAGTCTTCCCCCGAAAGACTTGCTAAAACACTGGTCATACAGTTGATCGTGCAAATGCCAACATTTTTGCTATTTACTGATCTTACTGAATAGAATTCCTGACAAAACCAACAGACATGCAAACAAGTGTCTCTATCTCCTTTTATCTCGTATCTGCTATTGAACATCTACATTAAAAGAAAGACGTATGTGCAAGCTGTGCTTCAGCAGTGTGTATGCCTGCAGTGCTTGAAATAAGCTCCAGAGGTAACCGGTAGGTAGGCTGGACACAGCTCACCTTTTCAGCTCCTAATCTACAAGATAAAGAGAAGAGCTTTCTCCTCATGCTTTTCCTGCAGATCCCAGAGGGCCCAGACTGGGCCTGGAGGCATGGCAGGACCCTCAGACCAGGAATGGGAGGAGGAGGCTGGAGGGAGGCTGGCAGGTGGAGCAGGCCCGCACAGGCGCCAGGCAGGCCCTGGCATTGCTTCTGTCACTCTGCAGCCCTGACAAAGCCATCAGCTTGTACCCAGATTCCTTCTTAGAGTTCACCACCCCTCAGGGATCTTCTGTAAAAAAAATTCCGAAGTTTGCCAGACTCACGTGCTGCACATTAACAGAAACAGGACATTTCAGAAAGCTGAGCCTGTGACTTGAGGCATTCCAAGATCAATAAAGCATGTCCCTATTATAATTTCCCCTCAAAGTCGGTGGAAAATTCTCCAAAGGCAGTAAACAAATATCAATTCCACAGATTCTCTAAATTTTTAATTTTCTAGGTCTTAAAGGATATGTAACTTTTTTTGTTTCCCCTTTGGGTCAGCTTCCAAAAATTAATGGGGTTGTGGAAAGAAAGGTACCTGAAAGCTTCTGGAGCTGACTCTAAGACCGCTTTTTCTCCTCCCATCTTAGCCCGGCTAAATTTATGGTTCAATTTCAAAAATGGAGAGCATATGTGAAAGCATGCCAGCAATTACTTTTCGCAGTCATTGACTCCGTATGTAAATCAGGGGCACACAGGTACACGTGGCTCAGTCATGGCACTGACAAGGTATCTTACTGCCTGAGACACCAGCTCTGGGCCTGGGGGCTCCAACTTGGCACCAGAAATGGCACATCATGGGAGAGAGTCAACGGTTCTGACCTTAGTTTGTGCCTCGTGTTTCTATGAAGATCTCCTCCTTTACAGAGATAGTAGTAGTGCACACCACATCTCAGCCACCAGACCTTAGAGCACCACATCAGTGGTCACTGGGCCCTGTCCCAGTGCTCATTCTGTGCCTGCAGGTAGGAAATCTGGCTGCAACAAGTGGTCTGCAGCTCAGCTGTAGTAGGCAAAGCACTTTGACAGCTCCGGAGCCACGTCAACAGCAGGACAGATAACAAGAAAACTAACTTCAAGGGAAAAATCTCCTGTCCTTCTGCAACTAAAGATAAACAGTGCTGGTAAACAACAGTGGTTAGATAGCTGAGCGGTAGAGTAGAACAATAAATTTAAGTGTCTTGAGAGCAATAATGTTTACAATAATATAATTCTGAGCTACTGAAGTATACACAAACTAACCAGAGAGCAACAATATAAAAATAAAGTGATATTAAATAATCCGTTCAGCCTTTTTGTCACCTGCAACAAATTAGGCTTTCAATATGCAAAACATCTTCCTTCCAGAAAAACAAATGATCGTGATTTCATTTAATTGTAATTTAATGAGGCATAATTTATTTTTTAAAGTGATATACACCAGGTGTGTGGTGAGGAAACTGGCCCAGCCAGACAAACCCTACTGTTTCTATTTTTGAGAAAACCCTAAAGCCAGCCAGAGAATGTTTTCATTTCTGCAAATTATATTTCTGCTGGAGGGGCTGAGGGGAGAAAACCCACAGCACTCATACTTCTGTTATAAAATTCCATTGGCTAAATTAGCTCATTCCGACTTACTTACATCTCACGCTTAAATAAATAAATAAATAAATAAATAAATAAATAAAGCTGGCAGTTTGCAGAGCAGTCAACTCTGCAAACCTAAGAGAAGAACCTTGGGGACTAGAAAGTCTTGTACTGATTTTAAGTGACCAAACAGGTCTCCTTTACCAAACACAGCTTTTAGGATGAATTTCAGGTTAGGTAGTTTATTAAAATCTTTGATTTTCCACTCCTGGGCATCATTTTTAAGCCAATTACTGAAGAGGCAATGGATGAAAAGTTGAACAGTTGCGTAGGCTCTGCTCACAGCTGAGCTGTGCTATGCAAGCATCCCGAGAGAAAGACTGCACAGGCACGGTTTGGTTTGTGCTTGGAACTGACACTATTTTTTTAAATTTCACACAGGATCCCTAATTGACTTTAAAAAAAAAATAATAGCCAGAGGTGGAGAAAGGAGCACACGTGCAGTCAAAATAAAAAAGTCTTTGGAGCTAGTTAAGGTAGGAGCAATTTTGACAGTGTTTTGGTTTTTTTTTTCCAAACAAGCTGAAATCTAATCTTTCAAAAACAATTCAGCAAAGTCACTATCTTGGGGGGTTTGCCCTGCACTCATCCCATTTGTGAACTCACTCATTTTTTTACTAGATACAGGACTTCCAGGACAAACATGTCAAACTTCACAGACAAAGAATCTTTTTCAAGCAACTTCTGAAAGAAAATGCACTACAGTGAGAGTGAATGTTATTCAGGCCAATTCCTCGATCCAAAGGACCAACTAACCAGCCTTTGAGACCAACACAAAGGCTTGACCAAAGCCCATGGAAGGCAAGTGAAGTCTTTCTGCCTTCTTCCCAAAGAGCTTTGGTTCAGGCTTGTAAAGGCATAAATGAGGTCTCAGTGGGACAGCAGACTGCACTACCAGTGACCTAAGGAAGGACAGTTTTGCAACCAAGGCTTTTCAAAAGTAGTCTGGATCAGGTTGAGGAGGTCATGCTGGAGCATAGCCCAGACACTGATGTCCTTGGGACAGAGGAGGGCGAGGGCCATCAGGCAGCTGGGGACTCACAGCACTGGCCAGGACCTCACACACACATCAAGTTCAGTGCCTCAGCTGGGAGTCGCGCTCTGCTTCACCCACACCTCAGCAATGTGGCCACGAGAGCAGGCACAACTTTAAAAAGGTTCAGAACAAGGCTTGTGACAATTGAAACACTGGCCAGGGCAAAAACCTGAATAAACCCAACTAATGTGCTAAACCTCAGTTTGTATGTTCTGTAGAAGATTATATACGTACAAAGGACTAAAAAAGCATAAACATTTTTTCATACTTTTGGTTGATTTGTGCCTATCCATACTTCAGCTGCTGCCAAGAGCAACAGTGAGAATGATGAAAAAGTTTGCTTCTGTAGTACTCAAAGCACAAACAGCACATATAACCAACCATCTTGAAAAAAAAGCTATTCTGCTTCCCTTCAGGTATAGGTGTGATTGATGAGGATCAGAAAACATAGGTGTTTATTAAAATCAAAAACTTAATCTTCACGATCAGTGCAATAAGCCTGTCCCTTCTCAGCATCCTCATTCAGTATGAAAGGTCCATTTCCAGCATGGGAAGGCAGCACACCTGGGGAGCCTCTGGTTAGCAAGTCCTTCCTAGTGACCTACTCTGAAATCTCACTTCAGTACGCAACAAGAAGCGTGGTTTGGCCAGGCAGGAATGATTGTTTGTATTTAAAGTTGCCTGCTGCTTGCAGCTGAAAGCTGAGGTTGAAGGTCAGTCTGTGGAGCTCTGCAGAAGCACCAACTTCTCATCACCCTTCCAGGAAATGAAGCAGTTCTACCTGCCATGTTTTTCTTGTGCCAGAGCAAGCTTTTACCATGATATCTCTTTGCCTCTTCACTTTAACTAGAGGTTCCAG